AATATCAATAGTCCAGCCGCACTATTTTATTAACCTACTTCTTTTTTTTTTTAATATGTACACAAGTACACGTTGAATATTCACACCATTGTGTCAGAGCGACACAGTGAATCTGATTGGCATAGGTCCTCAAGTCAATTCAGCATTTGGTTTCATGAAGAGAATTCACACATCCATCAGAGGCTCATTACTCAATATAGAAGCTAAATTTCAAGTGTTAGTCAGAACATTAAGCCCAATATCTCAGAATATCAGTAACAAAACCATATGTATATATAATGCACTTGAGGAAGGCATTGTTGATTTATATATATATCTTTTTTTTTTACTCACAATCCTTGATAACAGCACAGCCTGGGTGAAAGAGATGGAGCTGAGCTCAAGTCAAACCCTGATTTTGAAAAGATTGTGTGAGACACTATGACCCACTGATCAATGTGGCCTCACTTGGTATTTAAATTAAATTTTAACGAGGCAGATGAGCGAGAAAAAAATTCATGGCTTTATAGCTCAGCAGAGGAGCCAAAGCTTGTTCTGATGATGAGTCTGATGCAGTCGAAACTTAAAACTAGAAACAAGTGTAAAAAGTGTGATTGGCGGGTGACAAATGAAACAAACTTTTTTTTCAGAGGCAGAGAAACAACTAAGTGAGTACGACTCGGAGTTGGTAGTCTATCATCACTCTAGGCAGCCATTACTGGCGTTTTGACTACGCACCCTGATTCTACAGCTGAGGTTATTCCAGGATTAGTTTGTGTCATGTGGATACAGGATGACAGTTAATAGCTATTACAGGTTGATAGGTTTGCATAGACCCTTAAAACGCAACCATCACCTTTACCTCATCACAATCATACTGATTAAATAACAACAAGGTGAAACATACCCAACCTCACTCTTTGTACTGTTGAAGTTAACACAATATAAAGCGAATAAATAGCAGGAGTGTAACAGAGCACATGATTTTGTTACATTCACAGATAATGCTACCTGATGCTTTGTGGCACATAAAAAATTTGGTTGAGAGTTCTTTTCTTTTTTTGTGAATATATGAAGAAAACTAAGAAATTATGTCGTCACCACAGTCAACAATAGGAGGTGCCGTTTGCCCCTCGTTCTCAGTCAACGTCATGAAACACAGATAATCTCAGAGCCTTTATTCAAAGAAGTACAAAGAGTAAAATGGGGTATGTTCCCGAGATTTATAAAAAACACTTGTCCACGTGTAAACATATGTCGTGTGTGGTTTTGAGTTTTCCCTCAGAGAGCTAAAAAATAAAAATAAAAGCATTTTAACCACTGTAGGAGCGCACAGTCCTTGGAGACCGAAGAGGAGGGGAAGGGATGTCGTGTCCTTGTTTGTGTTTAGCTGGCGATTTTCTCAATTTCATCCAGATCATCTGTGTCTAGTTTTTCAATTTTTTTATCTGTAGGAAAAAAAGCACAAAAGGTTCAATATCAGGAATGATGTCAAATGTATCATTTACTTTTATTAGCATCTATTGGAAAATTCTGTTTCAAGTCATTCGAAATGTTTAGCCCAGTCAATATTATGATAGACAGCAACCAAAACACAGCTTAGAAGTATCACTACAGATCTGTACTTCTACAACTGTGTCTCAGTCTTAATCTGCCATTCTCTGGCAGATTCTAACCATCAGCATTTGGCATACAGAGCATACAGCTGAAGAAAGAAGAAACTTTATTAATTCATCTCAATGCTCAGTGATGTCATTTATGTTCCTGCCAAGATAAATAGACCAGATTATCGCAGTCACACAAGTGTAATCCAAAACCTATTTAGATTCATTTATGGCAGTATTTCTAACCCTAACGGTAACATTACAACTGCATGCTCATCTGCTTTCAAAAATGACTGCATTAGACAAGTAGACAAAACCCACCACCAAAAGATTATGGATTTGTCAATAACAAAGACAACATCGTCACACTCACTAAAATGCTCTTGGATCCTGTTGAGGATGTTCATGCTCATCTTGCTGTCCACCATGTTGATGGCCAGGCCTCTTTTGCCAAATCGACCCGTGCGTCCAATCCTGTGCAGGTACGTCTCGTTGTCAGGGTTACCATCTTTGTCTACAGGCATGTCAAAGTTGATCACCACAGAAACCTGCTCTACATCGATGCCTGGATGCAAGGAGAAAAAAGAGAGAACATTTATAACTGACAAAATTTTCTATTATGATCCAAGATAAAATGTCAGATGACCATGACGTATTTACCCTCCTATTTCCCAATCCCTAATTCAAATTAGCAAGAGGTGACCATGACTTGTGTATTTACCCTCCTATTCCCCAATCCCTAATTCAAATTAGCAAGAGCTAGAAAAAATAAATAAACGACCACACTGTTTGTTCTAATTGTCCTCACCTCGAGCACAGACATTAGTGGTAACGAGGACCTTCTCCTTTCCATCTCTGAAACGTTCGATGACAGCAGCCCTCTGCTCAACCTGCATCTCTCCACTTAGTAGCGCTACCTGGTGGCCTTCTCTAGACAGCTCACCTGCCAGCCAACCTGCAGTTTTCCTCGTCTGGAGAACAGATATAAAGTACAATTTAGCTTCTCAAAACATTAGGATGACTTTTTCACTTGTCTCACAGGAGATGAGATTTACACCATAGCAGCAGCAACAGAGGGACAAACTCACGTGACAGAAGATCATAGCCTGGGCGATGGTGATGGCTCCGTAGAGGTTACAGAGAGCTTGGAACTTCTCCTCCTTGTTGTTACATAACACATAGTACTGTTTGATGGTATCCAGAGTCTCCTCCTCTCTCTTCAGCTTGATAATGTTGGGGTCAGGCACGATGCGCTGGGCAAAGTTCCATACCGATTCTTCAAATGTGGCTGAAAATAGCAACATCTGGCAGTTTTTAGGCAACATCCTGGCAGGAAAGAGTTGAGATCGTAACTTTCTTTTCATAATACCCATACCTGCAAACACACCCACATATACTGTATAGTATACACAAAACTGCTCAATTTAACCCTTCTGTGAAATGACCTGATAACCACTGGGCAGCAGCTGACTCTTAGTCAATAAAAAATGAATTATAATCTTCTATTAAAGTATTATTTCTGGTTGGTTTAACAAGTTTGACTTAATCAGCTAATACACTATAGTTGTACAATTGAAAGTCAAGTGATTAATAAAACAATTTTATTTTAATTTTAACTGCATTTTTTAGGGACGGCTAGATCATGTAGATTAAAGACCAAATATACAAGCCGCTTCTGAAATAAAATACAAATAAAATTCTACTGACCTCTGGATACGGATGCTCTGGTCCTGGTGACCCTGTGTGGCGATCATGACGTCAGCCTCATCCAGAACAAACACCTTGATTTTCTTGGGGTCTATAAACCTGAGTTTACTGCACCAGTCCAGCATTGTGCCAGGTGTACCAATAACTATCTGTTCTTCAAGCTTCAGGCCACGCTGCACTGTTTTGAACATCCACAAAGAAACACGCATGAGTTTGAGACACAAAGTTGACCCTGAGGTCACGTGTACATATGGCTGTGGTGTGAGCAGGAAAGACTTACACTTATTCCCTCTGATGGCGTAGACTAGTTTGACTTCAGGATAGTATTTGCCCATCTGCTCTATCACCTTACCAGTCTGAAGGGCCAGTTCATAAGTGGGTGACACACACAGGCACTAAATGGAAAGATGAAATGAAGGAAAGTTATTGTAATGTTAAATTATGAACATTTGACTATTCATCCTCATTGAGGAGAATGTGAGTGCTAAAAAGGGTAAAATATACCTGGGGAAATTTGTTGTTGGGGTCCACGTGGCTGAGCATTGCCAGGACGAAGGCAGCGGTTTTTCCTGTTCCTGACTGTGATTGGGCAATCAGATTCTGTGGACTAAAGGACAAATATTGAAATTATAAACATGACAATGACACACTTACAATTTTAACTGTAAAGAAATTTGAGCAGGCATTATGGCTTCGTTATATATATAACCTATGGAACACTCACGGCTCTGCCAGCATCATGGGTAAGGCAGTCTCCTGGATTTTAGAAGGCCGATTAAAGCCCATGCCGTACACACCCTGAAGTAGTTGAGGTTTGCTGCAACCAAAGAAAAGTCAGATCATAGTTTCATTTTATTTCTATTACTCTATCAAAAAAAACTTTCAATTTTAATGTTTCTGTGCCATAAGGTGTTGTTCCAAGCAATTATTCCACTTATGCGCAAGTAGTGAAATAGCCTGGCTGTGGGGTTGGATGTTTTTCTGCAGATTTACTGATGTGTGTTATTTATAACAACTCATTATTTTTCCCCCACGCAGTAACGCTAGGGATCACCATAACACTGGGCCACTGGGTTTAGTGAGATCTGCTGACACTGATTATGTCTCACTTTGTATGTCAATTGTGCATGTTGTTCTGCTTATTTTACAGAGAAAAACATGAATAAATAAAACAAAAAAAACTTACAAGGATTAAGATGACCAAGTAAAACAATAATACGATTACAGATGAATTGAATTGAACCACATTTACTTTATTTTCATCCACTTACTACTATAGTTAAATATTCTTTTCTAATCTTTAGACTGGACAAATTTCCCCACAAACACAGATTCACACCTGACCATATGCATGCAGCACTAAAACCTTCTCAACATAACACTGGGAATATGCAAGAGAATGATACAAATACGTACAGTCGCAACTCCTCGAAGGACTTGACAGAGTAGAGTGGAGAGTTTGGATCCTTTTGAAGAACTTCCACTTGATTAGTATTATTGACTAGATTGCTTCGAATGAGCTTGTTCAATAATGACTGTGCTGCTTTGTCCTCTGGAATGAGATAAATTGTGGTTAAAATAAGACAGCAAGAGCATTCCAGTCCAAGACAGTCTCTAACAGCTCAACTCTAATATTGTGTTAAGAAATGATACGCTCTTTACCGCTGTCATCTTCATCTGTGGTCTTGTTGTCTCCACCTCCTTCTGTGTTTGCTGCTGCAGAACTCAATTGTGTTGCATTTGCAGTTGTGCCTGTGATGTTAAAGAGGACACTTAACATCTAATTTACTTATTCATATGAGGGATGACTTTTGCAACTAACAACCACTTTAACTTACCATTTTCTTCTGTTTTTTCTTTAATTTGAAGACTGCCGATCTGTGGGAAATGTGAGCAGAAGAATGATACAGACTGGTTCGACTTTGGGACTCACATATAACAATAATATGAATAATGATAATATTAATGTAATTAATGGACATGCATCACTCATGAGAAGAGATGGCTCTGAAAACTGTGAGCTGGATGTCCTCCACCGACTGGCATTGTATGTATAAAATACAATGCCAGTTGGTGTTCCTAATGCACATGAATGTTAATGCCATAATGTAAATCTCTAAAAAAAATAAAACTTTCTTTATCTTGGGTATGTTTTAAGACCATTACATGCTTAGATCCACAAAACACACAACTTTACGTTTATAAAATGCACACAATAAATTTAAAAGAAAACGGTAGAAGGAAAGTTTCACTGGTGACCACTCGCCATTCCACATCTATGGAATTCGGCGCAGTTTGTGGGGAATGACTAACTACACGATGAGCTGATCTATTTTGGAGAGTGTTACATCACTAGTTTTTTGGAAAGCTAAGTGCTAAGGCTACTAACTCATTGAACACGCAGCCTCTGGGCTATATCTCTGACGCCATATCAGGAACAGCCGTTAGTTTCATTTTCAATGAAATGAAAACATTTCCAACGAATGCTGAAAAAACAACAGATATATATACAATATTTCATCGGCGTTATTTTACGTATAACGCAACGCAAAATAGCAGTTTACAGCAATCGCAAAGTGCCAGAATAGGCCATATCATCGTTAGCAGCCGGCTAACAACATGTTAGCTAATGTTGCGTAAATGTGTTTACCGATTCAGCCGCAGCTTCTTGTTCGTCCACTGCCTGTGCCCAGGAGTCCGTTGCCATCGCGGGTCAGTTTCTTCTGCAGTTACTTTACACGTGAAATAACTCGGCTGAAAAAGCTCAGTCGGCGCAACCAGTAATGCGAGAGTAACTGATTCCCACAATGGCGTGCGGAGACCGACTCCCAGCACCTGTGCAGCTGCTCAGATGTCCGGTGGGCAACGAAATCCCAACACCACAAGTTCCTACCCGGTTGAAAGTAAAATTGAATAAATTATCAATATTTAAAGAATAACATGTTTCGAAATTAAACTGGTCGCATTAGACTGACGAATCGTCTAGATATATTCAATCAGATGTTAGATCAAAGCCCCCATCAAACGGGTGTTTGATCTCTACAAATGATCTCCACAGGGTGGACTATTCTAAAGATACATTTGATGCAAGTCAATGCCAAATGCGTATTCTTATTTTCCATGGAAACTCTAAACTCTGACAAGTGAACAGAGGCCAAACTGTACTCAAACTACAAACTAAAATGAAATTGTTGTTATGGTATTTACCACAAATGTTTTCTGTTTATCCCATTTAGTTCCTTTTGGTAAAAACCAGAATATTAGCCACAATATTTGTTACTATATAAACAATGAACACTGCACCAGAGCAGTTGGGGGTCACCTTTGGAGTCACACTGCTGTGGCTGGCTCCTTAATTGAATGCAGAATTGATTTCACACATTTCGATGGTTCTTCTGGGATAGATAGATAGATGATGACAGTGGCTTTGGATTGTGCTGAAGGAGATTACATTGATCCCCATTCTGCTGTCAACGCTCGATGCCACTGTGTGCACATGCGTCAGCCCCAGTTTATCTACAACGGCTGTGTGTGCGCATTCAGTGAAAGGTGTGTGTCTGCGTGTGGGAAAAGATACAGGAGAGGCTCTCAGATTGTCAGCTTGGAGGCAAAATTTGTCAAAGGCTTGAAAGAGCCAAGTTTGTTGTTGCCTCCAATCAGCTGCCTTGCTGAGGGTATCCATGGCAACTGAAGGAGTAAAAGTAAGGTTTGAAGTCTCCTGAGAATTGGGAAGAAACAGAGAAAAGGACTTTGTGATACCACATAAAGACCCATATTGAGCACAGGCTATGACAGGAGGAATATTAATGTAATTGTGTGTGAGTTTTGAGGAAAGAAATAGAAGAACCCAAAACATGCACAATAAATCAGATAATGTCAGAGTTAGCCAAACTTTGCCTAAAAGTTTGAGCATTTTAAAGTGAATGTAGAGGACCAGAAGGTCATTCAACAACAATATTTGTCCCAGCCATCCCGATTTATTTGAGTGCACTTGAATGAATGTAACTGTGTAAATTTAAATGTGGTTTTGAGTTCCGTTCCTGAAAGTCGTGGCATCGCCCCCTAGTGGTAGGAAAACGAGTCTTCTGCTCATGCGGTACAGGTCCAGCAGCCTATCTGCCCCGTTGTTACAGAGTGCGGTACACAGCACTGCTCACTGTTTCCACCTGGTACTATTTCCTTTTTGAAAAATAAACCCCTTTGGGCCTTCTGCAGTTTATAGCTGCTTAAAACGTTCTCTACGGTTGCCTTAAATTCAGAGTTGCTTAAAGGATCATGTAGTAAATATTTACAACCTTATACAGAAATGTACAGAAAATGTTAAGTATTGTTGGATGAAGATTTTACATATTTCTGACACTGATTGGTGTGTGTAGTAATGTAAAACTTTTGCCCACTGCAAAAGATTTTTTTAACAGCAACATTATTAAGTGTTGAATATCCTTTCAATATTCCAGCCACAAAGCGGCCGTTTAGCCAGAATTAGTCAGGGAGCCTTCTCTCACTGGGCTACAGTTATGGTCAACCATGTGTATCAATGTGCCGCAGTAGGATAGTGTTTACCCCATCTTGTCCTTTCTTCCTTTACCAGGACAGCAGTCGAGTACTGGAGTCCTTGGTTATCCACTGACAACTAATTAATCTGAATCAAAGGGAGACAAATCCTGTAAACACAGACAAGCTGTCCATTGGAGAAAAGGGGAGAGACAGACGGGGGAGAAAACCAGCATAGGAGGAAGAGGAAGATTAGGGGCGGATTCTCATTAGACTTCTTTTCCCAGTACTTTCTTCTTCATTAAGATTCATACCCCTGATCTGTTGCTCTGTGTTGGTGCTCCTCAGTGCCTGCTCTGTGCATATCAGCAATGGAGAAAAAAAAACACAGACCCTGCATAACCAGAATTAATATGGTGATGCTTTCATCACAGCAGAGCGAGAGAGACAGAGAGAGAGAGAGAGAGAGAGGGGAGAGGGAGATGAAGAGAGAGACAGAGAGAGAACACTGGGCTGACAGCTGGTTGGTATTCCTGAGACTAAGCCAGAGAGGCTGGTGGTGCAGAGTGGACATCACCAAGGAATTTCAATGCAAGCAGAACGGCTCGCTGCTGTCAGTGTCCCAGCTACTCTCACCTTTCTACAACAGTGGTAACTGTTAACTAAACTTTTTTTTTTTGAAAGACCGAAATATATGTATATTTAACTGTAACTGTTTTTTTCCAAAAAAACAAAAAACAAAAGAAAAAAACCCTAAATGTCAAATCAATTTCAATTTAACCCTGTGAAGCTTTAAAACTAAAACTACTAAAAAATTTGACTAAATGTCAATTCAATTTCAATTTAACCCTGTGAAGCTTGAGAGAAAATATTAGAAATGTTTTAAAAAATGCAACATATTCTGGTTTATATGATATTTTTGTATCTCATTTGATACATTGGGCTTTTTTGGTTTACCACATGTTCAATTCAAAGTTGAAATGTTTTAATATTTTGTCGAAATAAATCTGGGTTTCATTTTAATTTGTAAAACCATATGTGTGTTATGAATTAAAATAAAAAGTTAAAGTTGGAGCATTTTGGGAAAAGGGTAGACAGGATCTATCTAATGGAAAGGAACATCCCAGTCCAGTGACCATTTGGTACGTACACAAACTTCACTGTACATCACCAAAAGACCACCCATCACTCTATAAGGCATGGCAGTCTTAGCTTACAGTGTCTGTGTGTCTGACTGATTTGCGGTATATGTTGCTTTGAAAGAATTCACCCCCCCAAAAAAATCAGTGACAATACATTGAAATAGATATGAAAGAAATATGCATATAAAAGGACGTAGAGATAACAGGCAGTGCAATCCTGTTAAAAGTGGCTCTGTATCCTCTGAGTTAGTACCATCACTGATTCTATTCTGCACTGGTAAAAAATAAAATTCTTCCCAGACACAAATGAAAGGGAATATTTAGAAATCCCTTCGTACTCCATTTTAATTATTTATTCATCTTCCACTGCTTAATACTGTTCCAGATCACAGGGGGCTGGGCCCAGTCCTGGCTGGTACTGGACGAGCAGCCGTTGGTACAACCTGAACAGGGCCACATATAAACACAGGCAACACAATTCACTCTCATAGAGGTTACTATGGTCGATTTAGACAGACAGACAGATAGATAGATAGATAGATAGATAGATAGATAGATAGATAGATAGATAGATAGATAGATAGATAGATAGATAGATAGATAGATATTCCATAAACTCTGGCTCTATTACTATTATATAACCACATATTTGAAATAAAAAAGCACCTTCGGTGCTGTTGAGATTTGAGGAATGAGATAAATTTTAAAGCGAACCAAGAGGACAACAAGATAGATGAAAAACTGGGATGTTCTTGGATTAATGGAGGATTAAACTTTTGGATTAATGGAGGATTAAAGTGGTATCATAAAAGTAGACAAAACAAAATAACACAACAGATTCTATTTCACATACTTGGAAAATCATTGATTCTAATGCATTTTAATATTGAACTTTAAGATGGAAAAAAAGCCATTTTACCAGCATTGGCTACGTGAGTGGGAATGTTGTTCCAGGTACAAGGGTTAGGTGTTTGATTCCACGTTAATAACAATGTACAGTGTTTCCGGGAACGGTAACCACAACATTCAGAGGAAATTTAGTGCAAATAAAAAAAAAAAGAAATGATGTGTGTAGAGACTGAAGAATGGATGAGCTGAAAGGGACCAAAAAAAAACACACAGGAACATGTGCTTGGACCGTACCATTAGTCCTGAGGAAAAAAAAAACAAAACAGATTACTGAGATACTTCACAAAAACACAACATTTTATAAATAAATAGAATAAATATCCATTCCATTTTTCTTTTTTGCTTCAGTTACTGTTGTGAAGATTTAGACTCCCGTGTTGGTTTTAAGTCAGTGTCTCGGTGTTAAGTGTGCGACTGTAGAATTACATAGGGCTAGACTATCATAATAAATGTTGGCTAAAATGAAATATGAGTAAGGATTAGAATCTGCTGCCACGCTTTTCCCCTGTGATTGCCTTCCACCTGCCTCTTGTGTGGGTTGTCCCACTTTGTCCCTGTTTTGTCTGTGTATTAAAGAGGCAACACTGCTTGGCAGCATGTGAGCACAGGTTCAGCCAATAAGACTTTGCCAGGTCTTAACACACAGTATCTGGTGTTACTGTACAGCCACTGCACCCTGTTCCTTAAATTCTTATTTATTTATTTTTTTTAACTCCCATAAGTTCCATTTCATCCTTTCGTCCTGAAACGCATCTTAAACCATCCTTCAAGTTTTTAGGTCCTTCATCGAACTTTCGACACAAGTATTTGTCTTACTGGGCTGAATCCCAACTGGCAGCACTTGGACATGTCTAATTTACCTCACAATTCTCTCTGTAAGCTCAAAGCTGTCTGAATATGCTGCCAAAATTGAAATAATTAAATGAAAATTATTCGTCTTCGATAAGATCTATATTTTGGCTAACGTTTAGTTTAGCATCCTGGTTTAACTCTTTAAGAAATCCCATCTTTAATGTCTTCAAATCAGCCAATGACAGCAATTACTAACTTTTACTTCTTTTTGAGTATTTGATATTGATAACTTATTTGCAGGCCTTAAGCTAGCTTTTGTTATTTTGCTAATGTTACTTTGAACCTATTTCGCTAATTTATGCATTTTGGCTCTGACTGATGTGCCTGTAGATATTTCGTGTAATTTGCTTTGACTGAATGATTTTACTTTTATCTATGAGTTGACTTTTTTAACTATTACATATATTTTGTCACATTTAAATGTGACTTTTAGTTATTTACAGTCTTTTCATGCTCTCATTTTTTTCTAAGATGACCAACTGAAATGCTTCATTACATGAATTTTGCACAATAGTTGAGGTAAAAAGAAATCGCTGTCGCTGTACCATCTGGGGTGTGGCTTACTGAGTTTGTTGATTTATGGTTTTAAATATCAATGAAAGACCTATTTACATTGAGGAGAACCCTTACGCAAACTGTCTGTAAGCATTTATGATGCTGCTAATAAATCAGTGAAGAGTGTTTGTGGAATAAAACTGAACATTTGATGGAGTGCGGCTGCCCAAATGCTAAGCCAGCCATGCTAACACTCTATCATCTGACTGTGCACTTTGGGGCTCAACACTCAATGACGATTAAGTGGCCGCGTTCATCCATTCATCTGCCCGGCTAAAGAGACGCGGAGCTGTCAAGCCTCAGCTCAACAATTTTCAATTCCTTAATAATTTATTGATGACAGGCAGCCAAATTGCATATCAATAATGTAGAAGGGCTCAGAACAGTGTTGATACAAAACACCCTTTCAGCCAGGTTCATTCATGCTCACAGACCTGCAGACATATGTACTATGTCCAGTCCCACGTGGTAAGCTGCTGGCACACTGCATGAATCCAATTAGTATCCTTGAGCCGTGTCATGTTAGAGGAGGGTGGAACAAAAAGAAAATCCTCCTCACGTATTAAAAAAAAAGGTTTTATATGTGCACTCTGTTCAATACATGAATAATTTATATTGTATTTATTCCTTTATACAAAGAATTTAGCTGCTAAACAGTGCTGACTTGCAGTTTTCTAATACTTTTGTTCATGTTACACTGGGACTTTTGAAAAAGCAGCCAGATCCGGACTGCAGAAGGTCAATGTCAACACAAAAATTCCATAAAGTCACACTTTTTAAATATTAAGCCCTGGCTGTTTTTCAAACTGAAATATACACCAAGCCTTTCCTCCACAGTACAGTCACACATACAGTATTTGGAATCCCCAAGGTTAATTGATTTTTTCCCCTTACATTCTACATACATCGGCTCTGTGTCAATTGGACGACTCTGTTTTATGTTTGGGGACTAGCCAATAAAGCATGTAGCACAAATGAAGTGACTAATGGCAGATTTCCATCTAGGTCAGCATCTTTAATTCAGGAGGCACACGTACACAGTTACATGCCATCTTGCCCCGGGGGCCTCGCAGAGACCCGCTCTGCAGAGACCCGCTCTGCCACCGAGAGATGGGCCCACCATTTTGTTCTCTTCGGAAAAGAATATCTACGTGCATGAGATTAGCTGCAGGGCCCACGAGCCTTTTTCTTTGTTGTGCTTTAAAGTAAGAATATATCTCAGCTGAGGGTCAGTGTGCACAACCTGCGTGGTGCAAGGCATCATTCCCGTCTATGTTCAGTAAACTTTTTTTTTTCCTGTTGCAGAGGATGGAAAACAATGTAATAATGGCATCTGATAACAAACTGTACATTAAAAATCCTGTGCACAGCTGCTGAGCTCAACAACACCCTTAGCATCTCAATCTCTCTGCAGAGTTCGGAGCAGCTCGGGCTTATCAATTCAAACGCCTCACTGCTGTATGTACGGCAGATGCAAAACGGGGTCAAAGATAAAAGGAGGCGTTTACAGGGTAGGGTCACAAGAGACTCTCCCATGAACTGTTCTTGACCTCACACTGTGTACTCCGTTCCGTTGCATGTCTTTCCTCATGCTTACGTACTCCAGGGCTGAGGGGAAAGAAACCAAAACTGCATCATCTGATGCATTCAGCGGGATTTGTGATCACACAACGGAGACATGACCAACAAGACAAGTTTGACTTGAACTACCTGGATCAGAGCATACATGATGACAGGCCACGTATTAAGCATGGACTACACTGTTTGATAGAGAGGAACTTTCCAGCAAATGCGTAAAAGTAGAAACCCCAGTGTTCAAAGCTGGTTATTAGGGTTTTATTATGGCACTGCACCAAAACACAAAGAGCTGCCGTTAGTTTCTCTCCACAGATTTAAAGCAGCCAGACAGCAAGAGGAGAGAAAGAGAGAGTGAGGCAGGGAGAGAGAGAGAGGGAGGGAGAGAGAGAGAGACTGGGGAAGTGGTTGCTATAGTAACCATCTGGTAGGTCTGAACTGTTTCTCACTGGCATGCATTTCATCATATCAAGTCTATGTCTCTTTTTCTCTCTTCTCTTCCTCTCTCTCTCTTCTTCTTCTGATCTTACTTTTGTTTATGCCACTTTTCTCTTTCTTTTTTTCCCTTACCCTGACTCTTGATCTGCCCCTCTCACTCCACCTCCCTCACCCCCTCCAGCCCCCATTCAATCTCAAGCTTCCCACTCCCCTCCCTTTCCCCTTCACTTCCCCTGGAAAAATAGTGAGTGTTGTGTTTAATGTCAGCGCAGAATGATCCCTTAATCTCCGTCGGTCTGTCTGTTATGAATCTTTGTCCATTTTTATCACTCTCTGCCCCGACACTCCCATCTGTTACATCTGGGTTTTTCATTCTTGCTAAGACAAGACCAATATTTGAGAGCGGTGTCCACAGCGCCAGGTTTGGGGTGGGATTAAGCAGTTTGGAGATACCAGAGACAGAATAAACTGGCTTGACATCTGAAGGAGAGAAGTTGCCCAAAAGACTGACGTCATCTGTAACCACCATTTAGCTGCATCCGAAAGGATTTAACATGATAGCATATGGAAGGTAGAGCTGTTGTGGACAAAGGCTGGGATTCACTTTGATCAAAAGGAACTCCTGGAATCACAGGAGACAGTGTTCTCTTGGGTTATTTATTTTTAAAAACTCTATTTTTTTTCTTTTCTCTCTTGTCAGAACTGCCTGGTGAGTTCCCTTCAGACTGCGAACTGTCAAGAGGATACCTCATTTCAGTCTACAGACATATACGGTAAACACACACACACACACACTCTCCCTCCATCACACACACAATGAAATGTTTCAGGTTTTTTTGGTTTTTTTTGCCATATTAATTGTGATGCCATGAATTTGATTTCATTTCATGTCCACATATTCACCCTGACAAAAGACGGAGGTGAATTTCCATCGGTTCGGTGTGTGAAGTCACCGCTGGTACGTCCCTGCTGCGACACAGGCCAGATTCAGGAGAAGAGGAGGAGCTGACACTGGGTTTTCCAAGAGGACGACTGAGAAAATGATGCGTGTGTGTGTGTGTGTGTGTGTGTGTGTGTTCATGGTACTCTGCTTCCCATTTTTGGTCCAATATATTCCTAATGGAGTGGTAGGTACAGAGTGATAATAATAATAAGTGCATTAAACTCACAACCAGTAGCTTCAGTTGGAGACATTCGTGTGCACTCAGGTGAATATAGTTAAAATTTGAATTGAATATATTTCTGTCCATGTCTTTTTAGCCGATAAAAATCTGGATGAATTCTTTGATAGCTATCATTAGTGGTGGAAATGAAAATATTCAATATCAGTTACTATAACTGAAAGATACCTCCCTTAAAAAAGGATGGAAGTAGCCCTGGGTCTGATCATCCTGACATTTCTTACAGCTACAGAGGTGTAGCTGACATATAAAGCAGAAGACAAAAAGACAATCCTGGTCTCCTCTCTCGCTCAGCCTGCTTTGTGCGTCTTTTCATTGTAGCCACAATTACTCTCATTTTAACCAAAATAGAGCGAAAAAAATAGAGAGAAAAAAAAAGTTTATTCGAAAAAACACTGAAGTTTGCATTTAACTAAAACAGATTACAAGTCATTTCTTTCCTTTGGATTAGAAAGTTGTTTTGACTGATAAAATACTTTTTGCAGCAACATTTGTCAAGTTTTATTTCCTAAATTGGGAACTTTCTCTCCTCCTGTGTGAGGGCTTTTACTGCAGGAGGTGTCATGGCTGACTGCTGTTTGGAGGCAGACACTGTGGTTACGCCAATGAAAGAATAGGCGTCTTCAGAAGAAGAAAGAAGAAAGGCAGTGATAAAAGATGGAGAACATTCCATTAAAGACAGTGATGGTATCAGGGCAGAGGGGAAGACTGTTCTGCACCGAAAACCCACCGCAGCACCCATGGAGTGCAAGGTGCATCTGTTACCATGGTACCCAGCCTAGGCAGTCCCTTTCATGTCTGTCAAGACTAGCAATTCGTTAGTCTCGCCTGCAGTTGGAGCTGAAACAGACACATAGTTGTGTGTATGTGTGTTTTTCTGGGGTTTTTTGTCCATAAACCGCTATCAGCGAGGATTTAAGTTGCTGTACGGTGACAGAGGCCCTTCACGTTGCTGCATGAATCATTTAGTCGCCACAGCACAGTTGGAAATGTCACGTCTCATCAGTGTTCCTCGCGCATCGTTGCTCGTGCGTCGTTTACATCTCTACTTATGGCATTGAAAGGAGTTAATTAAAGAGAGGAGCTTGGATTTGTTTTTTGGTGCAAACAGACCTTTATTGCATTGGGAAGCAGTGGTTTACAATATGTTGCAATACTGGAGCCGTTTGTACGCTGGTGCTCAGGTGAGCTGTTGTTCTGAGTCAGGTCTCCTCTCCCCTTTAAAACACAGCATACTGTTTGTGCTTCAGTCTGGAGTGGAGATTATCTGTTTATCTTGAGTTTCTGTCTGCTTTCATATCTGATTCTCAGGAATGGGAAGCTGTTCACACTGGAAAATGCTGACTTGACCTTCCTGTGCTGGTAGGCATTTCAACAATTGGGTAAAACTGTACAAGGAACATATCCAAAAGTCACCCCGGTGATTTGCTTCTAATCTGATACAAAACTATATTTCGTTTTTTTGCAACAATTTTTGAGATTAAAAAAAAACGAAAAAACACGAAGTACACTATTTCTTCTTGTCAACCACAATCAACACTAAACAGTTAAATAGTACTTTGTTCAATCTTTATTACAAGATATTAGACCACTGTACAAACCAGTGTGAATCGTACAGTACAATGCAGAATTAAGACTGTTTCTCGAGGTTTTTGTCATTCAAAGCTGTATACGAGGTGCTTCAGGAATACACAAGTTTCAGAAGTTCTGCTGTGCATGCATGATTTTATATTTGCCATGCATGAGTTGGTATCTCTGTGTTGTTTTTTTTTTCTTTTTAAGAAAGAGCCCTAAAAATGGCAACCCAACAACTGAACAGTCCAAGTAAAATGTATAAAGCACAAAAAAATAAAAGAACAAGTAAATCTGGTACAGTAAATCCCTTATGAGGTTTGGCACACACACAGTAATGCACAATGCAAATATAAATAGTTTATCAATAGGATGTGTAAAGTCAAGTTACAGTATCAACCACTCCAGGTGAAAGCCTGGGAAGCTTACAAACAGATGAGAGGTACACTGTATATAAATGAGTCATTAGCTGCAAAATATGGTAACAAAAAACACTCAGGCAACATCGAGTACTCTTTAAAGTGAAAAAAATACCACTCTCATTCGCTCCGGGTTCTCTTGACGTACGAAAAAAATACTCCCTCGGACCTCAGGTCGCTGCCAAAGGACATTTATCCGGAGGCTCGATAAATAAAGTCTTCAACACAGAGAACGAGGCGGTTTTCTGATTCCCACTTTGTGCAAGAAAATATAGGGCTACCCTTTCCATATGTACAAACACTGTCTGTTTTCTCTTGATCGAAATGAAGAGAACAAAGAACGGTACTGTAGGTTAGATTTATAAGATATACTGTAGGAGAAGTCGTGTGCTTTAGTATTTGTATTAAATTCACTTCTTTATCCTGTCCCTGATTTCTGCATTTTGACAGCGTTGCCTCCTTCCTCCACATCGACCCCCGCCTCACCACCTCCACCACCACCACCGCCTTGTCTTCTCCACTTTGGGATTTATGGCAAAACCCTGTCGTCAAGGGCATGGGGTATTTTCTGTATGTGTGTGTGTGACTTGAAGTGCTGTGTGTGTGTGTGTGTGGGAGGGGGTGACGGGGTCCAACTGAAGGTATCCTTCGCTGCCTATTCCCTACATCTCCTGCCAGTATTACATATTCACCCGGGTGGCCCTGACTGACAGGAAGAAGAGGGCGTGGAAGTGCTGCTTGCTGCCAAATGTGAGAAAGTGCTTATTTACAGTGTCTTTGGATTTAAACTAGTAAATATCGCCATAAAAAATTATTTTGTCAAAGAGAGTCTTTAGGGGGGCGGGAGGGGCGGGGGGGAAAGGGTCTTCTCTGTTCCATTTTTCAGTGCTTCGTCGTCGCCGTTCTCATCCTCGATCACAACTGTAGACGACAGGAAAAGGGAGAAGGAAAGAGAGCGTTAATGAGCGCAAAGAGTTCATCTTGGTGTGGTGTTTTCAAAATCCCCCATCAACTGACGGCGAAGGGGGTCGGGGGGGTCGGACGGACCGGAGACCCCCGGACAGCACCGGCACTGCACTGCATGAGCAGAGGTGGTCAGTGCACGGACAAACGAGCAAAGAGGAGCGTGAGAAGAAAGACAAAGAGGAGAAGTGTAACCACTGTGGTGCATGTCGGTGTTTCTGTGCAGCTCCTCGTGCAACACTTTCATATCAGCCTCTTCGCTGATGATGAGGAGCCTGTGCAGTCACTGTGTTCAACTATCTGTCTGTTGCATGAATGTGCCATCACTCATAAGTGAGCCTTTTAAAAAAAGGGGGCAGGGGCAAAGTACAGCAAACCCACCCTAATGAGTAAATAAGCCCAATAGAGGGAGAGGAGGATGTCTGTCTAAACATACATCTACAGATATACATATAAATATATATATATCCATACATCTGTGGCATCTGCAACTACCCATGGAGATGGCATTTGGAATATACATTTTGCTCCATATCTGTTTAATTGTACAATGATCAAGACTGTGAATGCAGAGCATTCCATATTTGATCCAGTTCTACTCTACATAGAATTAACAGGTAGAAAACCATAATTACACAGGATGTGAATCCTAATTAGAGCATGCATTCATTGGGGAGGAGACACTCAGCACCAACTCCGTGCACAGAGAAATCCACAAGCGTTTAACACATCACGCACTGCGCATGCAACCTGTGTTGCAATGCGAACAGATTATTGCAGTAATGCACACAAACATGATTGGGGTTTTATTTTATTTTCATTCAATTGTATTGAACAACATGTGCATGCCATGCTGACACACACACACACACACACACACACACATCCTTAATTACAGTCTACCAGTAACCTCGGTGCGTGCTCAACACGCGCACTGGCACACGCACGGAAAACGCCTTAATTGTATAATTACCCCGTTTGCTCCTGCCTATCTGTCCCAGTTTAGGCGGACGTTTGTTCTGCGAGCCGTTGAAGAAGTTGTTGGTGTCTTGAAGGCGACAGGTGAAGGAGAGGTGTCCCTCGTCGCCCTCGTTTCCATAATGGCTCATTTTCTCCTCGTTGAATGGCAGCACTTCCGACATCTCTCCAAAATGGATCGTCACCGGGAGATAAAGCTGCAGCAAAGAAAATCCACGAACGTTCAAGCAGCGTCGTCCAGGCTTGGAGTCGCTCTCCCTCCACCAACAATTGGACGGAGAGGAAAACAGTGTAATCTGCAGACACGATCCAGCCCCTGCTCTGTTTACCCCCCAGCACACGTGTCTGTCTTTGTGGCTGCACGCAGCAGAAAACAAGAGTAAAAAAAATATATCAATAAAATCAAGATTCCCTATATTTCCTCACTGCTGCAGCTTCCGTAACATTATCCCAAAATTTCCAGAGGTGTTTTCTCTCACACACAGTCCGTCTCTCTCTTTCTCTCTCTCTCTCTCTCTCTCTCTCTTTGCGTATTGCTTGGAAATGGAGGCGCACACGCACACACAGCCGTGGAGCGCCCGCTGCTTGGAGCGGCTGTTAAAAACCCCGCGGCAGGGAAATTCTCCAGAGCACAAATGTAAACTGATAAGTAAAAACACCGATGCCGGTCAAAGCTGGTTTCTTCTGGTGGTGGTGGTGGTGGTGGTGATGAAGAGGAAGAGGAAGAGCTGTGCGGGATTTTTCTGGCGCAATCCAGTGAGACGCTTGGAGTCGTGTTGATGTGCAAATGCTCCACTCCAAGGATCAATGAGGAACAAACAAAAAAAGGGGGGGAAAGGTCTATGTCTATGTGAGGGTTTTTAAATATGACTTTGGTCACGAGGGTGTGGAGGGTGTGGAGAGTGCACACCACAGTCGTGAATGCACCACAGCTGGCCGAGTTTAGGGTCGAAATAGATAAAACCTCCAATTAAAATCCCATTGTTGTTATTTATGATGTCACGGAGGGACTTTAATCGTCCCGTGTGTTAAGTGCGTCAGAGCTCACCGCAGGAGGGCAGTGTTTTCATGTATGTGACTGAGGTCTCAGTCACAGTGCAGAGACACGACTCTCTCTGTCAGAACGTGTATTGATATTCCATTGATTTGCAACTTTGGTTTAAATAAACGCTGTTTTTTCCGCGTGCTTGACAGATAAGCTTAAAATGTAAAAATAAATATATAAATGACCACAGTTGATTGCAAAACAAAGCATTGTATGATGACAACAGCCCTACAATAAAATGCACTTCATTAGATTTCTTAATTAGCAAGTTAACTGCCGACAGTTAGCATTTTGGCTTCAAGATTATTCATAGAAATGTCTGCGAAATAGTCAAAAATGGAAATTAAGGAATATTATCTTGTTTGTTTACAGGATATATACAGTATATAAATATATACATATACATATATATTAATATATATATCTATATTACAAATATTTTATTACCCAAAGTATATGTACACATTTTCTGGAAGCCATTTAATAATAATAACAACAATCCAGATTGTTTCATTCTACTTTACATTATCAGTATAAGTTCTGACAAATGTTACAAACTGAATCCTAGTCGTTAGGGTTAGTTACGGTCAAACTAAATATTCACATACTTTAATGAAAGGACCAGAGACAAATAAACAATTCATCAATAAAATGGCCTCTTTATGGACACAGACAATATGTCTATTTTTAATGGCTTTTTTCCATGATAATGTGCTCAGACGTTACAAGACCTTATCTGAAAATCTGACGAGAGCCATTATGAAAACTGAGTCCCTTTTTTAAATGATGCCTCCTGGGATTGTCCTTCACTTACACGCATTTTCTCATTTGGTTCATCTCACACTGATGTCTGTGCTGTTTATATAATTCCACCCCCCCAGGATTAGCAGCAGAAAGGGGCGGTTTCTCAGGATGAATTGACTGTACAAGGAAGCAGATTTACAGACAGCGCCGTCTTTTTCTCAGGAAAATTTAATCAAATATCATTGGACGGACAATGAAGAGAAAGGCAATACTGAAGCCCACGGCAGAACTGAGCTGCACATGCCGTCAGCCATTCATGAAGGAGGTGCAGTTGGGAAACACCTACTCCCTGTGGACCTGTGGAAGACACGATTTTAGTCCCACCTTTTATACAATGTGATCTCAATAACAAGTCTTTCTGCTGTAAACATTTAATCTGCTCTTCAATTTGTGAGCAATATTATTATCTGTTTCAATCAGAATAAACTTTTACCTAAATTCTGTCGTGCCCTACATTTGAAAGCTGTGGCGGCTAAACTCCAAGGACAAGGATATGACTTATGACTTATGAATTTTGTATTGTTTTTACTGTAGCAAAAACAACTGAAAACAAACTGAAACAGAAAGAAAATAAATAGAAGGAATATAAGTGGTAGATAAATAAATAAAAGCAAGAATGTGTTTAATAAAATAATGTCATTTGATTCAATGTCAATTTTTGGGTTTTTTTTTTTTTGTATATTGCTGGAACAGAAAGACACATAACAGCAGGTAGATGTATGTGTTTCACACCTGTTTTTATTTGACTAATCCAAATGATGGAATCATCGATATGGAAAATGGAGGCTTGTAGAAAATGTCAAGAGCTGCTTTCGAATCTTTAACAAAGTCTGTATATGAATCAGCGTACAGGTCGTCGCATTAAATGTGGTAATTGTGTCAGAGAGCTTGTGAGCTGTTGACTAACTGACTGCCCTGAGCTGAGTGTGCCTGGTCTGAGTCATCACATCAGCCGCTGGGAATGGGCTGGCCTGAATTCATTAATAAAAACAATTAAGAATAACTCATAATATTAGCCGTGTGTGTGTGTATGTTATTTATGACTTTAAAAGTGAATACAAGTCATCAGATGAGGCTGTAAACATTCAAATATTATCAAATTGTCACACTGTTTTTCTGCGACCGTTATACATGTGGACGCCAGGATTGATTGAAATATGTCAAATATTGATAATATAATTGGTAAGTCCTTGTACAAGGTTAACAGGTTCAAATTCCTCGACGTTATCTCTATATTTGAATATGCATTGACATAAAATGGTACAAAAAGTTCTCAAGAATGGAATTTCATGTTTATCTTGGATCTTGGTAGAAACCGATATACATGGCTTGTTAATCTGTGAATATGAGACGGGTGACATTTTTACAAACAATAATTATAAGAAATTAGAGAAGTGCTTTATCTAAAAACATCTATCCCAGTAATCGAGACACACCTTTATAAGGCTAATGTTTTTCCTTAATAAATCAAATTTGTTCAAACGGCTAAATTGTACTCACTTATTTTCTGCACAGCGTCTAATTAATTTAACAAGATTTTTTTTTCTGTATTTGGTGCAGCACCACACGACCCATCGATGGACAACACAGCGTCGGACTGGACTTAGCATCTCCACAGTCTTTCCCTATTTGGACACTGTTGTGTGGACTTAGCATCTCCACAGTCTTTCCCCTGGGAAACTATGCTATAGACACGCCCTTCGCAAACCTGACGTCCATCTGCTAAGATGACACCCTTCATCATCACCATGTCATATTGTGCCCCAAGGAGAACCTTTCAGTTTGTTGCTAGCCCGTGTTAACGTCTTTGGTGATATAGGATACAGAAATTACACAATTCGGAGGCCTCCCAGGTTGCCTCGTGTTGCACAGGTTCAGGTGTCTCATCAATGTCAGGTCACTTTTTGTTGGAGATCGGGGGCAAACCATAAAGATTGCCACCACCAATTGTAGTTGAGTTGGAAAACAACAACGTTTTTTATCGCATATGTGGCCAAATTCTAGGATAAATGGGGTAAATTCAAAAGGATTGCAAAAAAAAAACGCCAATACAACTCAACTGGTTGACTGAGAACTTACACAGATATATTAACCAACATGACTATGCGCCTGTCACTCAATGTAACCTTCTGACGAACTTTATCATTGATTTTCCTCTACAGACTCCACTGATGTACTGAATTCAATTGAAGTAAATGTTTTTATTGAACAGACTCCACTGATGTACTGAAACTAATCGCAGAGACAATTCAATTGAAGTAAATGTTTTTATTGGCCTTGATTCGATTGAGAAGTTGCTTTTTTCTTCTAAAAGATATGTGCCTTCAATTGTTACAAAATCAGTCTAAAAAATGTATTTACTTTTTTTTTTTTTTGTACTTTCTGCCCATATACTGTATATCCTACCTGCATACCATGAGAAGAATTTTAGTGAGCTCTGCACCTCTCAGACCAGAAGTGTCATCTTAAACTCCAATGTAATTCAAATGGCTGTCCCTGCACCTCTCACACTAACAGCAACGTTTACCCACTGTACCTACCCTGCTGCTATTTTCGGGTGCTTCATTATAACCAAGTCAACTCCTGAGGGTGGACTGCCACCTCTGTTTAATAAAAGCTTTGGAGCCGAACCAACATCAATGTGTTGAACTGCATTCACACATGCTATCATGGGGACGGATATACTCAAAGAGTTATTGTTTTGTTTTAATATGAGCTGAGAAAAGGTGGATGACATTGTGCTATTTGATACACACTGGAAACAAAGACCAGGGCCTTAGGGAATTTGTTGTTTCAGAATTAATGACTTGGTAAGATCAGGTGATTATCCCTGTTACGGGAAAATGTGACATCAAAGGGCAACACCCACCTGTCTGTACGCCCAGCTCAGCAATACTGAGACCAGGTATGGAAACAATATTTCCTCCCCAGTGCCTCACATGACTCCCTTATTCTAGTATACTGATTCCTAACCCCTGTGCGGTGGAACACTAGTGTGCTGTCAGAGATCATAAGGTGTGCCGTGGAAAATTGTCCAATTTTACTTAGTTGGGCTGAAAACTATTATTTATTTATTGCATATAATTTTTCTTGGCTTGTCAAAGCATGAAAGGCAGAACTGCTGGGTGGCAGCAGATGGCTATGAAAACTATGAAAAAGATAATCAGAGCTGTTGAAGAAGATCTTTGTGAGTGCCTTTCTTCAATTCCTTCCAGTATATCAGTGTCATCTTCAACAAAACAGGCCGAGGTTTTGGCCAATTATGAAGTCATTCAAACTATAAGTTGCGTGCCCTGGGGTTTTTCCTGATGATATACTGTATATATGTGCCGTGGCTCAAAAAAGTTTGGGAAACACTGCTCTAGTATCTTTAAAGGACACGATGCTGTCAACCAGGCATGGAATCATGCTTGTCAGTAAAACTATCATATCAAAATTTGTAACAACAATAATAAACGACAGGCTCTCTTAATGAAACCCTCTACCTTAATAAACACAATGTGTAGTATTGTTGGTGGTACTATGACAGTACTATGGTACTGTAGTATTCTAATGACTGTTATAATGTATTGTGTCATGGAACACCTGTTTATTTTCAGCTATATTTATTCCATCCCAGCAGCAGGATACAGCTGCGGACCGCACCATCACAGGTCCTCACACACTGTTTGATTTAAGGGCCACAAGTAACTGAATCCTGCGTGTGTCTGGGCCGTATGAATCAACCAAAGTACCTGATCAAGAGCCAGGCCCACACGGGGAGAACATGCAGAACACTATAAAGACACATTTACAACCAGTAAGGCAGGAAATCAGTCATTAGGTCAGTGAAAATTGATGGTAATTTTTGCAACAAAAGGTGATTATGAAAGTAATAACCCTGCATGTCATTTATCATCTTTCTGTGAAAAGAGCCTGAGTCGAAATAAAGGTTGAATGACAGACATTGATCTACTGCCAGTTTACAAAGACACAAAGTGTGTTCGTTACTTGAGCCGAACTGCGTGCCAGGGTTACTGTGAGCAGACAAGGCCTGGACCGTATAACAGAAATACAGCCAATTTACAGCAAGTTCTCTCTCTCTCTCTTGTTCTCCCCCTTTTCTTTACTAGTGCTTGTCATGTCAAGGTCAGCCGCCTCCACCTCCGCACATCTGTATGCTGTTGGACTTCCCACTGGCCTTCCCAGCAGCATCACATCGCTGATGTTCGCTACTACACTCTATGCAGCATCCAAGCTAACTGTTAGAAATCTGATCAGACCATCTGATCATATACACATAAAATCAAGTCAAATGAACCCCTACACAGTGAGAGGAACAGCATCTACTGCAAATTTGCTGATGTCATCTAACGGCCATAACAGAACCTGGTTTAATAAAGCAATATATGAGTTGTCATTTCAACAGAGTTCTTCACATAAACATAAAATATCATTAAAAAAAAGTGCTTTAATGTGTAGCAGTGACTGTATCTTGGCTGTGAAAAACATTTTCAATCTCAATGGGATTTAGAGCCTGGTAAACTGAAGGTCAATGTGGAATATAATAAACTAAAAAAATCAATGTATTGTTAAGAAGTAGCAATACTTTTTTTTACATTTCAATAATTCACATTGCAAGTAGAATTATTGGCCAATTTAACTTGTACTGTACTGGAGACTTCAGGTTCTATGGTTGACAGTATTTAATTCTCCTACTTGTCTTTGTAGGTTCTCAGTACATGATATTTTATCCGGAGCCATTTGGTGAACTCAGTGTTCCTCAGAGAAATAATGACTCCTGCTTGTCTGTAGGGACACACTGTGTCTGACAGAATAAAACAAAAAAGCAGGAAAAGATGTTCTGTGAGGTCATGTATCATCAAATAGACCTGTGAGGGCACAGTTGTTTAAGAAAAAAGTCAAGACTTTCTCTGAAACAGTTTGGTAGAAGGGTCTCCCAAGGACCCAACAACAATGGAGTTTGGAAGCAGATAACAACCCCCTCCTCTCCCTCTCCCTCCCTCCCCCCAGCTGTTACGTACAAGGTGTTTTATAAAAAAGTGTTTTTTCTTTATTGTTTACCTAGTGCCATGTCTATGAACACTGTAGTTCATATTCCTTTGTTTCTACATCACAAATACATGACCCACCTGCACCACCTCCTTGGATACTTTTGGGGTCACAGACCCCCATGTTGAAGACCTCTGGTATTGAGAATATGATTAAATTATTATTATATTGATTCTGAAAGTTAAATGCTTTTGTCACTCTTTCATTTGACACCAAATAAACGATCCGAAACGTCCTGCGTGCAGCTCCACGAGTATTGATTTCACTTAGACGTAGAAAACGTCCAGCTCGTAAAAATCGCAGTCTTTGATGAACAAAAGAGAAACAAACGAGTGAGGCCCTTAAAGCCCCCACACCCACCCCCTCCCATTTACCCAGTCTTCACAGTCCTGTCACATGTGAGGCCACAGTGTAATGAAAGTAATTCAATATTTACCCGACCTTCTACTGCCACCACCTCACTCACAGCTCTGCTTCACAACAGTGGGCCCCCCCGGCCCCCCCGACAGACCTTATGTAACAGCTCGTATAAGCAGCAGGCGGCACTGGCTTCATCTGCCCAAATATTATAGAAGGTTTGATGGCCGAAAAAACGAAAAATTATACAAGTGTTGTTCTGTCGTGGCTTGATGTAGTTGCTATAGAGATCCTTCACACAGTTGTACAGTGGCGCCCCCTAGATGCCAGTTTAATCCGTTCCACAACAGCACACCTGTGTCGATTCGCTCATATCTCGATTGCATTTTCCTCATGAAAAATAACTAAAAAACCAATTCATTCATTCCAGCCCACCAAGAAATATACTGCACCGTACCAACCCCCCCCCAAACCTTCCTGCAGGTGGTGAGTCCACTGGAAGGTACCAACCTCCCTAACTGGGATTCGATCTTGCCCAGGAGGTGAACCCTCCTGGGCAAGATGGAGGTCACATTTGGTTGTGTGCAGTGGTGTGCTGTAGTTCACTTTCCTTCCTTACTCGTAACTTGGAGTTTAGGTGAGTAAAACACATTTTGTCCCTTAATTAATATAATAATGATATTGTGTTATTATTGATGCTTTTTGATGTACAATACGTTGTAGCTGTGTCTGAATTGTGCTTCATGGGTTTGAACTAGTCGTGAACTAGTGATGTCCTTGTTGTGAGTTTTCTTTAAAATGTAGGAACACTCCAACTAAATCCATAAGTTTGTTTTTTCAAACCAAAGCGTGTTACTAGACCTTGGCTTTTGGTTTAAATCAGTGCGTCGGATCACCAGCGCCCCCTGCTCCTGTCAGCTGCTACAGCTTAAGGTCTGGTCTCTTTTTAATAACTGGGGGAAAAAAGGCAGTGAAACAAAGTTCAACTTCAGGATCTACTCCTTCACTTCACCTGTCAGCCAAACACCTTCACTACACCACTGCCGTGCCAGCGTCGTTGTCAAGGATCAGCTGTGCTGACTGTCAGGAATCCCCCCACCCCCACTGCAACACCCTTCCCCCAGGTTGTTTCTGATATTAAACAGTTTTTGTTCTGAACTAGTTCATTGAATTAAATGAAGATGAGTCTTGGTGTAAGTTTAAACCTAATCTCACGGAGAAAGTTCTAATGAGGCTGCAATAATGAATGGGATTTCTTAAAAGAATAGCTGCACAAGTCTCTCTCTCTCTCTCCCTCCCTCCCTCTCTCTCTAGCTCTCTCTCTCCCTCCCCCCCTCTCTCTCTCTCTCTCTGCTGATATGATAACTTAATTAATTTCCTTTTCAGGACCAGATTTCCTCCTGGGATCAGATTGCAGCTCTAACATTTGAGTCACTTACAGCCTCCTTGTGAATGTGTCTACGTGTCAAAACACATAGGTTTATGGTGTTGCCTTTATTTTCACTGGAACAGTTGCCAGTCAGTGACATTAAAACCACTTCTATAACACAGAATCGTCACAGTTAACAACAACATCAACAGCATCCTCCTGGCAACTCAGCGTTACCTGCGGCATGGGAGGACACTCTCGTCTGACCTCCTCTTGTCCCATATTTAGAGCAGGCTGAATAATTGATACCTCACCCAGTAGAATGGGAGAGACTGCTTTGTGTGGCCTCAGGTGTTTTCTGGACACGACACTGCGCCAACTCTATAGACACGCAGCTGTAAATGCTGCGCTATATGGTTTCCTTCTTCAACAGAGCGAGTAAACCAACATGCAAACTTGCATTAAGCGAAAATAAGTTCCAGTGCCACATCTCCACACAGTGGTCACTGCAAGATATTCATACAGTACTGTTCATACTGTGTGTATTTTATTTTTATAGCTATAAATTATTATCAGCTCTTGATGTGACCACATGTTCATCTGCTACACAATGGTAAAGCAAAGATGTCATGAAGATCTGCCAACAGATGTCAGATGTCAGATGTACCTACCGGGGCAGCCATGTTGGTAGCCACACGCTACACATTATGCTACATTAGCCCACAGCAGACAAACTAAACACCTGTATAATTTAAAGATAACATGTTACACTACTAATGGCCACCGTTTTGTCCTTCGTGCTTGCACAATAATGTGGAGCTGATGCGTATTTAACCACCACACGTCCCTTCGTTTACAGCTGAAACACTGCAGCTGCATCTCTTTTTCTAGAAGAGTCTTTGTCCAACTTTGACCAAATATATTTCAATTACAACTAGGTTAAACGGCAGTCTGCTCGAGGGACATACTTCACTGTCTGCGATTTGTATAATGTTCAGTGACACGTGCGACGGTCTGACTCATCACTGGCATGCGCAAAATGCATAGCACATGCAATGCACTGCATGTGCAGCACACCCCATGTGTCAGGTCTCAATTTCTCCCTCTCTATCCCACACACATAAAAACACACCTCAGCTTTACACCTGAGTAGGAGACTCGCAAGATATCGCCTTTCACCCTCACAATTGGTATGACACCTGTAGACTTCAGGAGGCCAGTGTTACAAACCATATACACCCAGCTGGGAAATGCTGATTAGATGATTAGAAACATTTAGTTACACGGAGGTGGTTTAGCAGCTTTCTGCAGTGAATGCTGCTCCTCTGACCCTAAATGCGTAGCTCTGATTTTTCTCTTCAAGTCTCATTGTTAGAGTATCTGATACAGAGTCAGTGTCTGGGGTGAGGAATTAGCATAAAACCTACAGTCTCCCCCTCACAATGCAATGTCTGAATAGTAAACGTCAATTTTAATTGAATAATAATAATAATAATAA